AAAAAAAAAAAAAAAGTTATACACAGATTTTCAACTGCATGGGAGTCAGCACCCCAAAACTGCATTGTTCAAGGGCCAACTATAACATGTATATAATTTTTTTTTAAAGAAAAGAAACAAAATATCGCACCAACAGCAAAGTTAAAACAAGGTCTCAATGTACTATATCCTAATTTCATTACTAGGACACATTTAAAAGATACAGAAGTTTCACTAAAAACATATGCTTTTATGTACCCAACAGAATTTTCACAATCCTTAAGAACACAATGAAATTTTATGTATTGCTTAAAAATATGCCCTCATCAGAAATCTTTGACATTTCTTAGGTGCACATTCCTATTTTTAAGCATGCAGAAATGCATTAAAAATATAAACGTTCATTATAAAGTACTTTAAGAGAAGCCACTGAACTTGAATTTCTCATACCTGTTGGATAGTAGGCTTGGGAGTACTGCGCTGAGGGTGTGTAGTTACTATATTTTTGGGAGGAGCTGACCATTGTTTGAGGACCTTGTTGAACGTGTACGGATGTGGCACTTGGCTGCAGGGCATAGGTAACCTCCGTTGGAAACCTCTGCAGTACAGGAAATGGAACCCCTTTATCTGAAAAAGTGGGAGACGTTTCCACTTGTCCTGGGTGCATTCCAAGGGAGTTCTGCCATGTTCTAGGAGGAATCGGGGTCCGATCTAAACCTTTCAGAGGGAAAGTACTGTGGTTGTGGGATGAAGTCGATACGTAGGAGTAAGGAGACAAACTATCTCGCCGGAATGACCGGTGGAATTGTCCTACAGCCACTGGTCCTGCATAAAAAAGGAAGAACACATTGACTAATTTTACATTATACCCCTGGATGTAGTAAACCAAAAATCACAAAATATGAGTATGTTGAATTCTCAGCCATTTTTAACACAACAGAAATTTAGTTCTGGTAAAAACAAGTTCAGAATCCAGAATACACATACAATGCTAAAAAAATAATCAAACTTTTGCTTGGTTCTCAATATTACTGTCATAAGAGACAAAGTAGCCAAACTCTAATATTAAGTCAAATGTTAAATCAAAGTCAATGTTCAAAGCCTTTTATAGACGATTCAGTCATCTTACCTTTTTTTGCCTCAACTGATTGACCCAGATTTTTCCAATCTGTAAGCTACTTCCTAGAAGTTTTAGAAATTCCATTCAGTCTTTCAAATCATTTAGAAACCTTAATAATAGGCACGAAAGTAAACACTCAACTGTATATATAAAATAAATAAGTGTACATCAAACAAGAACTATAACATAAACCAAAAAGAAAGTTAATGTTCTTTACTCCCCTTCAATTTTTTTTTATGTGATAATCTTTGCAGAAAAGTCAGGCTTGAAAACTTTAACTCAGTTCTCTTCTTCCTTTCTTAAATTAATCAAAAATTTTCCATGGTCTTTTGTTCTTCAGAGGATCTCTAGTAGAGTCCCTTCCTAGATATCAGTAACTCTCAAACACTGATTTACATCTGAAATCACCTAGACAGTTTGTTAAAAATCCACATACTCAGGCCCAAAGATTCTGATATTTGCTTTCTCTTATCTAGTAAGGTGGAAAGGAATTAAAAAGTGGAGATGATGAAGACAGAGAAAGGGCAATACTATAGAAAAAGAAAATATACATGTTGCAAGTTGAACTGATTTTTCAGACTGTAACTCTTTGTTTTGTTTTTTTTAAGATTTTATTTATTTATTTGACAGAGAGATAGAGAGAGAACACAAGTAGGCAGAGGGAGAGGGAGAAGCAGGCTCCCCGCAGAGCGGGGAGCCCGATGTGGGACTCGATCCCAGGACCCTGGGATCATGACCTCAGCCGAAGGCAGCCGCTTAACCGACTGAGCCACCCAGGCGCCCCAGACTGTAATTCTTGAACATAAAGCTAGGCTAATTTATTTCCAGGAAGATGTCATGTATTAAATCATGTGGTTCACAAATTCCTTTCAATTTGCTTTATTAAACTAATCTATAAAACAGAGGAAAAGTCTAATTTATGTGCTACTCATCTGTTAAACTACATGGTAAAAGATGGCACTCAAAAACCTACTTTTCCAAATATTTAAACTGTAATCCCATTCAACATGTTATATATCTTTCATTCTATTTCTTTGATGTTTTATTTCCTCTAAAGAATAAAACATTAGGGGGCACCTGGGTGGCTCAGTTGGTTAAGCATCGACTCTTGATTTTGGCTCAGGTCATGATGTCCTGAGATGGAGCCCCACGTGGGGCTGTGCCGGCGTGGAGCCTGCTTAGGATTCTCTCTCTCGGGGCACCTGGGTGGCTCAGATGGTTAAGCATCTGCCCTTGGCTCAGGTCATGATCTCCAGGTCCTGGGACTGAGCCCCCGGTCGGGCTCCAGGCTCAGTGAGAAGTCTGCTTCTCCCTCTCCCTCTGCCTCTCTCCCCTGCTCATGCTGTGCGCGCATGCTCTCAGTCTCAAATGAATAAATTTTAAAAATCTTAAAAAAAAAAATTCTTTCTCTCCCTCTGCACCTCCACTCCACTCACTGTCTCTCTCTCTCAAAAATAAAATAGGGGCCCCTGCGTGGCTCAGTTGGCTAAGCAACTGCCTTCAGCTCAGGTCATGATCCCAGAGTCCTGGGGTTGGACCCCCCCCGCCCCCGCCCCGCTGCCCGTTGGGGCTTGGCCTGCTTCTCCCTCTCCCTCTGCCACTCCTACTGTTAGTGCTCTCCTGCACTCTCTCTGTCAAATAAATGAATAAAATCTTTTTAAAAATTAAATTAAAGCATTAAGAGTACTCCTAACCACTTCCGGTTTGGCACTGACTGATTCAAATCAATTTTCTTAAACTCTTAAAAAATGATAAAAATTTTAAAAGGAATAAAGCATTAATGCCAAAAACAAACATATACATACATATATACACACAAATTCTAGAGCCCTGGAAATCAAGAGGTCTAAATCTAACAGAGAAAAAAATCTTAGTTCAAAAGATTGAATGTATTCAAATGATATCACCTCTTAAAAACTGCTTTTTCTCTTTTCCTCTAAAGTACAAAAAATAGTTTTAATGGTATCTGACTAACAATTCCATATGTATACACACTTTGAACTACGAGTGCAATCCTTTAAGACCTAAAGTAACATTTTTTGCTCTTTACAACAGCTGTTTCTGAGGTCTAAAACTACCCACCACTTGATTCTTCCTTGGATGCTTCACATGCTAAAACTACATATTGCTACAGTGTGCAATAGCTAACCTTTCTTCTACCTTCTTTAGAGTTAAGCTATTAATGAATTTGCAGGTTGTCAATAGCTTAAGCAGCTAATTAAAGAATTAGCTTTATTCTTTAGTTTATCTATCGCGATAAACTCTGAGTGATAGCCAAATACTTATAGATTTTTAGATGCTGCTAACATAAGAACGCTGATAGGATTAGAAGGGCATTCCTTTTCATTTGTTTTTTAAAATAAAGAACTAAAACATGTTCAGCTCGTATTTACTGTTTAGGGTTATCTCATAGGGTTCTATTCTGACCAACTTCACAGAATATCATCTATAGGTTTTCAGAACATCTTCAAGATATATTTGGCAAAGTTTAAATCCAGAACTCTGGAAATGCAAGGCAGGATGGATTTCTGTTCTTAAAGATCCTATTCCTTCTATATAAATGAATCTGAGTTAATCAATTCCCAGGAAAAACTTGCCTCCTGTGAGCTTGGTATCCCCAGGCCAAAACGGATTATCTACTATTGCTCACACTTGTTACTTAGTTTAGAAAGTTTTAACAAATACTGCTAACAAATATTGTAAAATAAATTGCCACTTAAGTGCAAAATAACAAAAGTGGACCAAAAAAAAAAAAAAAAAAGGAAAAACATGTGATCTTCACATTTCTTATCAAGTACATTCCTGAAAGGTGAACAAGACAGTTAGTTTAATGGATCTTGATAAGAGAAATAGGTACTTAAAGGACTCTATTGCAAAAAAAAAAAAAAAAAAAGAAGTATTCAAACCATAAGCTGAAGTAGAACACAGTAAACAAAGTGGAAACTAAGAAGCAACAGTATAGTCAGGCATAAACTAATGAAAGATTCAAGATGAATAAAAATTATGTAAAAAAAAAAAAAAGTAAAGACAAACAGAAGAGCCAAGGGCTTAGAACACAGAATTAAAGCAAACAAAGCTGGCCCAGTATTCTTGAACTTAGAATTACATCCCACCCACACCAGTAACACAATTCCTTAGTGAACCAAGCCTATGGTATAGACAATCCACAAATGACATACCTTCTGCACATACCAACAGACAGGACAGTAAAAAATAGTAAATGCATGAAAACTGCAATGATCTAGTTATACGTGGATTGATGTATTATTGATAAAGCAAAAGTATGAATTAAATTTGTTATTCAATAAATAATCTTTAAAATGCCGCCCAACTGAACTATAAGTGAAGACACATCAGACCACAGGCAGCCCCTGTATTTCTTTAATTAAAATGGACTCTATTGGGGCGCCTGGGTGGCTCAGTCGTTAGGCATCTGCCTTCGGCTCAGGTCATGATCCCGGGGTCCTGGGACCGAGCCCTGCATCGGGCTCCCTGCTCCGCGGGAAGCCCGCTTCTCCCTCTCCTTCTGCTGCTCCCACTGCTTGTGCTCTCTCACTCTCTCTGTCAAATAAATAAATAAAATCTTAAAAAAAAAAAAAAATGGACTCTACCCGGGGCGCCTGGGTGGCTCAGTTGGTTATGTGTCTGCCTTCAGCTCAGGTCATGATCATGCGGTCCTGGGATGGAGAGCCTGGTGCTGGGCTCACTGCTCAGTAGGGAGTCTGCCTCTCCCTCTTCCTTTGCCCTTCCTCCACCTTGTGCTCTCTCATGCCCCTCCCCCCACTTGTGCTCACTCTCATATAAATAAAAATATTTTAAAATAAATAAATAAAAATCAAAGAAAATAAAATGGACTCTATCCTTAGAATACAACTGGGTTTAACATAGGTGAGGGAAAAAGAAAGAGAAGTGAAAAGAGTGAGCAAGATCTTCTTTTTATGTATGCACGTATAGGTTTCTCTGTTTGAAGTGCTTATATCTCCCAAGAACACACTTCCCAGTCTTTTCTCCTTATGCCCACCAGATACACAGCCCGAAAAACAAACATCCATGTCAGAGATTCTGCCAAATGTATGCCATGGCATTATCTCCATTGCCTTTCCCCATTCAATACCCCACCAAAATCAATGGCCATCACATGGAAGCAGCTTAATATTCCTTTAGAATTCCTTTAGAACATTCCTAGGCCACTGCTATTTTTCCATCTTGTTACTAGAACTCTAACCTAATCCCTTATCTTCTAAACTCCACAGACACACAAGCTTATAATCCCTTATCTTCTAAATTCCAAATGAACAAAATGCTGTCTCATTCATAACCCTGGGCTGAGGTTAAACTGAACAAAGTGCTACTTTTGTTTGTATATTTTTAAAGTTTCCCATACCTGAAAAATAATCCTTACACATTATGTTAAATCCAAATTAACATGGTGAAAATGTTTCTACTGAAGGCAAAGAATAAATTCTCATTATTATATCCAGTTGCTATCTTGGAATACTGCCTCATATCATGGACTCTTTACACAGAGAGAAGGATTATTGCCACCCTCACCTTCCCAGAGGAGGGGGAAGAGCACCAGAAATCAAGTTGATAAAATAATTTTCTACCACAGAGAATTTTTGAGCTTTTAGTAAATACATAGTTATAGAAACTTCTTTCAATACTGAAAGGTGTAGAGTGAAAGATTCAAAGACTGTAAATGTGAACTTTCTAAAATTCTTTTAAACTACAACCTGACAGTAAAGAACACCATTTCTGCCTTATGTTTGCCTAACCATAACACCTTAAGTAAACATCAGCTCTAATTAGTTACAATGAAAGAAATGTTTAGCCAATTCATTGGACGCAGAACAGTATCTTATAAACAATTAAATATATTCCTATGTTTTTGCTCTTAAGATATATAAACAATGTCGACCTTTCTATACATTCCTTAAACCTACAATATGATTACTGTCAGGACACCTAAGATTTCTCAGATGTGTCTGAGGGGTGGAAGACGGCCTGTCCCTTCAAGGACACACTTCCACTCAAGGTACCTTGTTCACTTTCCCTCGGTCGGTATAAACGTTCTGTTTTCGTGGCCGTGACTCTGTTCCTTCCTACCTTGCCCATCATATTCGCACCCTCTACAGTAACTCTGTTTTGCTTCGCATTAGAGCAGAGACCCTTTGGTGTTTCTTCCCGACCTAGTGCTTATTCTAGACGTTCAAGGTAAGGTAAGGGTCTCAAGAAGAAGGTAAATGGCCATGGAGGTTTGGGTTTCAAGAGGGGCCGGGAAGAGCGAGAGCCTACGGCAGAGCTCCCTTTGGCCGCCAGTGGACAACTAACCAGAAGGGACTCAGCGCTTATGGCCTCTTTCCAGGGGAGGTATTGGCGGAAAGGGGTGCTGGAAACGGTGGAGGCGACGTGGCTTATTTCTCGGGAAGCACAGCAGCAAGTGGATCACCTCACGGGGGAGGATGTGCGAAATGCCCTCGTCAGTGGCGGTTGCTCCCTGGTGCCCCATGTGCCCTGCCGCGGGCGAGGACTCACCGTGCGGCTCGGGCCGGGGCCCCGCGGGCGGCGGCGGCTCCTGGTGCTGCAGCGGGGAGGGGGAGGCCGAGGCCGAGGCCGAGGCCGAGGCCGAAGCCGACGTGATGAGGAGCCTCTGGAAGCGGTTGGGCGGCCGGCAGGGCACCTCCAGGCCGGCCGCCAGCTTGGCCTTGTTGGCGCTGGTGAGCCTCTTGAGGTGCACGAGCAGCTGCGGCTGGTCGCGGCGGAAGTGCGGGCTGTGGAAGTGGTG